TTCGTGCCGCTTTTCCTTTGGCTCTCGTTGCTGTTCCTGAATACTACCTTTTGCTATTGAATTGAGGCTGATATGAGAGTAGCGAATGGATGGACAAAGCGTTCAACAAGGCCCAAAGAGAAACTAAACAATCTACAAATGGAATGAAACGGCCATCGTCGGAAAGCGGTCCTGAGCAAGTCCCGGACAAGCAGCGTGACACCACGAAACGGGTGAAGCTTACAGACAATCTGCGGGATGAAAATGGGGTTGCCGCTGGGAGACAGCCGTCGCCGCCGGACGCCGCCTCTCGGGAACGTGCAAACCCCTCCCTTACTGCACCCAAGCCCAACAAGTCGAACCCATCGCAGCCTGAATCAAGCCCAAGCCGTGTGTCGAAGAGCGCCACGGACCCCGGTGTGGAAATTCCCGTGAAGAAGTCTGCGTCCAGCATCACCACAAGAGCCATGTCGCGTCTTCCTTCCGCGACTACTGTAGTGTGGTATGTATTGGCTGGTCAATATTCTGTGGTAGAAACGACTGACAAACATGACAGTGACGATAGCGATGATGAGAATACGCAGCCACCTTTGCCAGCTGTAAACACTGAAAAGTGGCACAAGTATGCAACTCTGCAAACCATGGTACTCATTGATGCTGACTATGTAGTAGACCCCTTGTCTATCCGCTAGTTGGGAAAAAGAAGGCCGAGGTGGATGTTTACGACCTTGACCGACTGCGCGAGAACGAGTTCTTGAACGACAACCTTATCGGGTTCTACATTCGATTCCTGCAAGATCATCTGGAGCGCACCAATAGTGACGCGGCGAAGAGAGTCTATTTCTTCAATTCTTTCTTTCACGATACACTTATGAATGTCCCTCGAGGAAAGCGGGGCATCAACTATGACGGCGTGCAGAAGTGGACGAGGACCGTCGACATATTCAGTCATGATTACGTCGTGGTTCCAATCAATGAAAGTGCGCACTGGTATGTTGCTATAATTTGCAACTTACCAAGCCTGCAGGGGATTGTCCAGGAAGGGCTGGATCCAAATGAACCAACACCAGGCGAAAAAGAGCCTTCGGGGCCACCAGACAGTCAGGTTCAGGAGATCTCTGAAACGCCAGAGCCGGAAGTAGCCACCGATAAGGACAAGGAAGAAAAACACGCTGACGGCTCAGGCCCTACGAGAGCGGAGTTAGCTAGGCGATCCTTAGAAACGATGAGGATAGCTGATGGGGCTGGAAAAGACCAGCCTGCAGAGAGTCCTGCTGCAGACCAAGAGTGGCCTGAACTCGAAGCTAGCCCAGAAAGGCCTTCCAAAACTCTTTCCAGTCTCACAGAGAACGCGACGACGCCCGAGAAGCTTGACACGAAGGAAGCTGCTCAACTGCCCGAACCATCAGCTAAGCCTCGCAAACAAAAGGCAAAGCGAGCGGGCCCTAGATACGACGTCTGCCAGCCGATCATTATTACTTTTGACTCGCTGAATGTGCCCCGTTCGCCAACAATAAGCTCCCTTCGTGAATATTTATACGAAGAAGCCAAATCTAAGAAGGGCGTCGAAATCGACAAAGGCCTGATCAAGGGTATGAGGGCCCGGGATATTCCCCTGCAGCCCAACTATTCCGACTGCGGTCTGTATCTTCTGGCGTACCTGGAGAAATTCGTCCAAGATCCGGATGTGTTTGTCAGGAAGCTTCTTCAGAAGGAGATGGATTCGAAAGACGACTGGCCTCCGCTGAAGTCCGGTCTCCTCCGACGGCGACTCCGCAAATTCCTTGACATGCTTTATGACGAGCAGGAGCAGCTCAAACGCCATGAGATCAGTGACAAAGACACTATGGTGAATAAGAAGCCAGTCTGTTACCTACTCGGTAGTCCCGTGCTGGAGGGTGCGGAGAGCGAAAGCAAACGTTCACCCCGGAAAAAGGAGCCGTCGAATGGCTCGGAGGACCTTGCTCAGGCTGTGAATTCTGAACGACAGTCGCAATCCGAAGCGGAAACTAGCGCGGGCCAGGACAAACCTAAGGAGATCCAAAGATCACCGGTAGTGGACACCACAGAGTCGCGGCACCCCGAAGCATCTCCCGAGAAAGATGTTGTCCTAGTCCCAGACAGTCAGCCGGAGGCAGCGCCCACCTAAGACCAAATCCAAACCATCAAAGCCACGACGACAGAGTCCGGAGTCGGAGACACAGCCGCGCACCGTTGTCAACAACAAAGAAGATGGCTCCGGAGGGCCATAGTCCTGACGACGGTGTGGGAGTTGTGGCAGTCGAGACCCAAGTCAGCTATGCACATAGTAGTAACGAAAAGCACTATCTCTAATACCTATCTTATGCACCATTTGTTTTGTCCCTTTTTTTTTTTAATCCGTGCCATCCGCACGCAGGCGTTTCCGGAACACTAGGGAGGGGGAGGGTTGAGTTGACAGTTGCATTAGATACCAAGCATTTGCATACGAGTGATTCTGTGGAATTCAAGACGAGGGGTGACATGTATTGTATATATCGATATGTGATAGAATCGGATGATCTGATCTGATCCAACCCAGCTGAAATTATTCTTTCTATGTCTACTACCCACCTACCAATCCCTCTCATCCGCCTGCACCCACCACGCCATCTTATCCCTCTTGAACGCCTCAAAATCCCACTCCGCGTTCTCTAACCGCTCCTTTCCAGCAGTCCACACATACGTAACGGCCTCTACTTCCTCCCCTTCCTTGGTCTCACCGCTGCCCTCTGTCTCCGCTGCTGCACCTAACACCGCTTGTATCTCCCCGGTACCATGCTCACCCTCACCCTGCTGCTGCTGATGATTTAGAACCCTCACCCTAACCGCCTTCTTCTCATACTCACTCCCCTCGAACCGATCCAATCGATACACGTCCCCGTCTGTTAATCCCCACACTACTGTGCCTAGCACAGATGCCTCACCAGCAGCAGCAGCAGCAGTATCATCTGCACCAGACGAAGATGAAGGTGTGGTAGGTATAATACCCGGATAATCCGCATACCGGACGCGATGACGTCGATAGCCATGCAGTATTGCCGGCTTGATTGTCAGGAGAGCCTTTTGCCATGGTTCTGGAGTGGAGTGGCCGTGGATTACGCGGTGGAGGATGGGAGGGGCCATTAGGGTTCCTTTGAAGGAGATCTTAGTAGTGGTAGGGTGGTGGATAACCTAGGGAGGGGGTGGGTACCGTAGAAGAAGAGGACGTGGTCGCCCATTTCATTTGCTTTTATCTTGTAGTAATGTATATATGTATGGTCTAATTGTGGTGTGGAATTTGAAAGAGGGCAGGGAGTATGCGGGGTTAATTGGTTGGTGGTGTTGACGAAGTGGTGTGGTAAGTGTAAGTAGGTAAATAAATTGAGAGAATATTGTAGTGATAATTAAAGAATGATGAATATATATAACGAGAGTATATGCGACTGTTTTATAATGACCTTGCGCGCAGCAATTCAATCCAACGAGGATATGAAGTTGAAGCAAAGTCCGACAGACAGTATCGGAGATACAGCGATAAGTGATTGCTTATCGATAAGCCAGTCATTCAGCTCAACCAATCCCGAAAAAGGCCCATGTGGCTTCAAGCTCCGCCCAGCTTTGTTTCTCTTACAAGCCAGCATCCTCGCGACATCGCAACTTCACAGGGAGTTATTCTCCCTATCTTCCCTTTTCATACTCTCCCCCCCCCTCTTCTATCCCGAGATCCTACATATAGCACACAGGGGAGAATGCACTCAACCCTCAACCGCGCCCAAGGCGTCTTCGGCTTCTTCACGACCGTCGCTCTCTTCGTCGCCGGTCTCGCTGCTCTCAGCGTATTTCTCTATCCTACCGACGATGTGACGTCTAGTGTGAAGTTGCGCGATGTGAAAGTGTACGTTTTCCCATCCATCTTACTTACACCCTCTTTCCAATCCAATCAATCCCTCCGATTACCTATACACCACCCCCATAAAATCCACATCTACACCACACAATATAGCTAACCCAACCCAACTCAAACCAACAGAACAAAAGGCCGTCCCCACTACTACAGCACACGAAAGGAAGAATACGCCGCCATGAAATTCGATCTGGACGCTGGTACATACAATCCCCCCAATGCCTATCTCCCTTTCCCCTACATAACTGACAACCATACAAAAGACCTAACCCCCCTCTTCAACTGGAACACCAAACAACTCTTCGTCTACGTCTACGCGACCTACCCCTCCGACCCCTCCAACCCAACCACCTCCGCGCCCTCCCACTCCGTCATCTGGGACACCATCATCCCGGCCCCGGAGTCGCCGTACTCGTTTAATGCCCTGCGCGAGAGATTCTTCCCTTCTGCATCATCGTCTGCGAGCAAGAAGCGCAATACGAAGAAGACTTCATCTGCCAGTAAGAAGGCGTCTGAGCCTGGGAAACTGAGACTCCGCGATCAACGGGCAAAGTACTCCATCGGAGATGTTTCGGGGAAGATGGCTGAACGGGAGAATGTGACGCTTTCTGTCGGGTGGAATGTGCAGCCGTGGGTGGGGGCGCTGTGGTGGGCTCCGCACACGGGGGGTGCGATGAGGACGAAGGGGGATGTGGGCACGAGTAAGGCTTTTGGGTTGCCCGCGTTGAAGGGGAGGAATGTTGGGACTGGGACTGGGACTGCGTCTGCTGGTAATGCTGCGGGGGCGGTGTAGGTGGGGGAGTATAGTGAGTGATTGTTGGGTTTGTTTATGTAGGAGAGATGGTATAATTGCATTCATTGGGTTTGTTCTTGTTTATTTTGGGTGTTTTTTAAATTTATTTATGGAGGGATGGGCTGGGTTTAGGTTTGAGGTTGAGCATGTCATCTACGTACTTGCATTGTAGAAATGAAAGAACCTCAACTCCAGTTAATGATGCTATCGACTTTGGTCGTTCATTTTAGGGTCTCGTAACATAGTAATACCCGGAACAATTGAATGTAAAGGGAAAAGAAACAGCCATGTTCACATGCAGCTTGAATCAATCAGAACCCACCATCAAGGGATCGTGCCATACGTCGTGTGATGATTCCCCCCGCGCTGAATCCGCTCGGAATAGACTCCCGGCGCGCGACGTGGTGCTTCACCTGTCCCTGCGTTGCGATTGGCGTAGTATACGTATTCGAGGTAGAATGCGTGGATATGGCCGGGGAGGTAGCTGCACAATGTGGACTCGGTCAGAACCATTCACTTTTCGAAAACACTACGAAGGCAAGAAGGAGTATGATGAGAAGTGACTAACCCCAGGATCGTCAAGAGTATATTGATAAGCAGATCAACACTGCAACCCGAGATCATAAACACACCGAGAGGAGGTACTAGACGAGCACAAGAATTAGCTTCAAATTCAGATGCAAAGAAGAAAAGAAAAATTTGAGAATGTAAGTAGAGGGCTGCATACTGAACAAGGTAATAAGAATCAAGCAGAGCATGGAGCATGTTCCCGCCATCTTTATTGATTTAAAGGCGATGTTGATAACGGCAATATAGTAGTAGTAGTACTGATTAGGACCGTGCGGCAGACTTGACACGCTTGGTCGAGTCCAGATAGGTACCCAGGAAGCTGAGGGATAGAATCACCACCAGCAGGATGTAAATGTAGATGGGGACGTTGTCGTCTTTGTTGGAATTGAGACGCTTCATGGTATATGAATCAAGAAGGTGACAGAGGATCGGATCAGTCACAAGGTTTCACAGGTGTTTCTAGATCGACGTCACCGGGACGGGAAGGTGGTAATGGAGGATCAAAATGGCTTTCCAAGTGTTGATCAGCCTTGTGAGCCAGCGCCACGGGTAGCAAGTCACAAGTCAAGTCGAGTATGTATGAGTGAACAACACAGCAGCCGAGTTGAGCGATCAATCCCTTGCCAGGCCACCAACTGAACAAGGCAGAAATGTTTTTAGTTTGGCCTGGAATTGGCCGGATCCCATTCCGGCTGACGTCATCCCGCAAGCTGCCGCAAATGGGCCGCGCTTGCCTGTTTGGGCTTAAGGCCGAGCTACGGAAAACCTGGGGTAAGTGGGGAGTTCAACTAGTAGAGAGTAGATGTGAAGGGCAGGTGTCATTGTTGCGGTTGGTGTTCGTTTAACGTGTATATTTGCAAGGTATATACGACTTAGCCTCTCCGTACTTCGAGCTTCTATACTGCATCAATCGACGCACGTGTCGTCACCTGTTCGTTCTTGTTGCCGAGTTTCGAGATCTGCAGGAACGCATCCACTCCGTAACCTTCGAGGCTGTGGAGCTCCAAGCTGCCCGCCCAGTACTCGGCATACACTCGGCTCATGGGCAGACCGATCCCCAGACGCAGATTAGGAGGCCGCGAGGTCAGCGAATCCAGCGAGCTCTCGCGGAATGTGTCCCGATCCGCATCCTTTCTTTCTGTCGGCACGCACAGCTCCTGCATGGTGGCAGCCATGGCGGGAACCTGTCCCAAATTCTGGAGATGCGATGTGCTGTAAGGGCCCTTATTGAAAGACCACAGGTACGGCAGGACCTTACGCGGTATACCACCGCCCTGATCCGATACCCGCAGGATCACATGCTGCGGGGCCTCGCAGATGAGAACCTCGATAGGCGGCGGTTTCTCCGTAGAGTCCCGGTATCGTTCACTCACAGCTTGGATAGAGTTGCGGAGCAGCTCACCGATGATATATTCCAAATGGCTTAGCATGTAAGGGAAGGTGGCCTCAAGGTGACCCTGCACCGAGATTTCTGGTATCTTATCCGATCCACCGTTCTGCCGCAACATATCCTGCGCCAGCTTCCCGCACCGTTCAGCAACCTCTTTCGCGTTGCATCTGAGGAATACCTCACCGACGAAGTCGGCATTTAGATCTGTGCGATCTTGGGAGCCGGGGAAGTGCCACGGAGAGTTGAAGGTTTCCGTTAAAGCAAGATGTTGCTCGGCGATAACGCGGCGTGAAATTCTCTGTTAGGTCCAATGTATTAGTGGAGAAATATACCATCCAACCAAACAAGGTCTTACCGCTCGGAGAAGTGTGTTCATGAAGCTGTCCAGCACATCTGACGGGACGAGCTCGCGGCACTCCAGAACACCCGTTGCGAGTTTGGGAATCACAACGAGGTGTTCTCGGAGCGTTTTACGTAGGATGTCGCAGAATTTGTCATTGTCATCCAAAGTCTTTATCTCTGGGATGGTCCGGAACCGCTCAAATGCCTTGTAGTAGAGCTCGTACACCATGGACAGGTGGGGATTGGCCACCACCACATACGGGAGTCGTTGTATATCTCGTAGGCGATGGGCGAGTCTAGTGAAAGATTGGAGTTAGTTAGATCATCAGCTGCTATGGAATGACCGCACTAACCTAGTTGGAAGCTCAGTTCGTACGTAGTTGGCCGAACTGATGAGCCGGGATTCCGTCAGGGTTCGTCCAAAGAAGGTCAGCTGTCGCAAACTGATAGGACGGATGTCACGCTCAACCCATCTGCAACCCATTAGCAATGACGCCCGGCAAAATGTGTCAAAGAATAGCCTACTCGTCCAAAGCCGATACCGGTCTCCACGGCGGCGGACTGTGAGCTTGTTGAGTGGAATTAAATCGTAGTTTTGGAGTGCAGCATTGACGAAGAGCCCGCCAGCGACGAGCTGAATGACTCCACGCCATATTGCTGTGGTTTGGACTGAGTCAACGGCTTAAGCGCGGGTGTGGCATGGAGGGGACCGTATTACGCCAATGCAAGAACGGGCGCGCATCAAAAGAGCCACACGAGATCAAGTTCCGATAGAATGGTCCATACATGGCTCTGCAGAGGATCAATTTGGTCCACGACCGCTGAATTCACAGTGGCATGACATGGTTCCTGATGGCAAATGCGGCCGGTTTTCCAGGCGTCCGGGCGGTGAGAGCTTTAGGCATGTGACGTGCCAATGCTCACGTGTTAACGGAGAACATGATATTATTCCCCCTTGAGAGTATTCGGGTCAATTTTGTATAGCTGAAATCTCCTCAATCCGAGGTCAGATCGGTACTGGGTAGAAGTTAGGGATACAGTACAGGGATGCTGGTGCTGGTGCTGGTGCTGCCTAATTAAACGGTGATCTTCCATTCCACCCGATCGTGGACTAAGAGCGGATGGCGTTGGGGAGGAGGTCCAAGCCTAATGGAATATAAGGATAATTGGTAGGAAGAGCACGAAGTAAGAAAGAGTAAGCATACTTAAGTGAACGATCAATAGCTATATGAAACATTATTTCCCTCTCACTATTTATTCATAAGATGCCGGATAAATTCTTTTTCAAATCATCCTTTTTCGGTCACTCGGAACTGCAGCATCCTTATGTTGCGCTCGGATTTGGTCTAGTTTAGACAGTGGAGCGTCAAAAAATAAAAAATAATAATAAAAAAAAATGCACGGGTGATATCACGCTTGGGTAGGTGGCTACTGGCTAGCTACTATCTACTACTGCATAGCAGTAGTCCCTAAGTAGGTATCAGCCTTGCCTTACTTGGTCCTGCCTAGTAAATAAGATAACAGAATTCGGGCCAACGCCAGGCAACTGCCAGGAGAAGTTGACCTAATAGCCGCCTAGAGTGAAGCTGCAGATGGCAAAACCGGTAACTGCCTTTTGTTAATATTTTCTTTTGTGCAGATCCTGTGTTCACACAACTCATGACAGAAAGCATCAACTTGAATGCCCATAATATGGCAATTGAGTCAACCATCGTACGAGGGTAAATGGAAGTGACTAGTAGTATGGTCACTGTTAAAATATCCACCTTCCTCAAGTCAATAAGCCATATGACTTAACCCCAATCCATTGAGTAAACTACCATCAAAAGCAGCGAATAGAACAGTAACAGTAAGTAAAAAGGAAAAAGGAAAAAGGAAAAGGAAAGATGGTGGTGTTGGTGGTGGTGGTCTGTTAGGTGAAGTACCAGAAAACCTCTTAATAATAAGGGCTGCTGTGTCCCGCATGGCCGTTATTATTGGGTTATGGCAACTCCGCCACTAGCTTCATCCCAAACTCCTGCGGACTGGAATCAACTGCAGCCCAGATCCTCCTCTTCTCTTTCAATTCTCATTCTCGTCTTACGAGGTCCTGACCTCTCCACCTCCCCCCTTCCATTCTCGCCCTATCCTATCCACCTCTCCGAAGGATTAACCCGTTCCGATTTAATACTCCTCCACCCCATCCAACCTGCAGCGTCCCGTCCGTGAGAAGAGTCTGTCGTTCAACTCCAGTGCGGGTACGCACTTTTTTCCTTCTACATGGACAACGTAAGTTCCCCCTCATATTGTGCTTCACTGCAAATCATTTCGCATTCACCTCCCCAGATATGCCTGTCCCCGCAAGCCACCGATCGCTGACATCGTGTTCCGGATCCTCATAGGTCCCAGACAGTGAGATGCTCGTCGACGAATATGAGCAGTATCACAATGACAGAACCGACGAAGTCGTCGTCTCTCGGTCCGGATCGGAGGAACCGGAGCCAGAGCCTCTTGCCGACGATTGTAAGATCCTTCTTCCCCCGTCTTCCTTTGCTCCCTTTGGCGTCTCTTGTGCCGTGGCGATGGTTGTGTGTTGGTGTCACGGAATCCCCGCGGTGGGGGTGAGCCGTTACAGGTCGCGGTGACGAGCGCTTTCTCCGTCAAGCTTGAGGACATGTCTGATCCCCCCGATTTTCATTACAGATGCAGCAATGATGGCCCGGATCCTCCCGAAAGACCCCGATTTGGAAACAGAAGATGAGACATATCACACATGGCATATTCAGGATTGGCGGAAACTCAAGAAGAAGGAACACGGCCCGGTCTTCCAGTGCGCCGGCTCTCCTTGGTGGGTGCACCCGTCCTGTCGCTTCGATCCGACGAGCTGGCTCTGACATCGATTCATAGGCGAGTCCTCTTCTTTCCTTACGGTAATCATGTCGAACACGCATCCTTTTACCTGGAGCATGCTTGGGAAAACGAACCTCCAGCAAACTGGTACGCTTGCGTTCAGTTCGCTCTGGTTTTGTCCAACGTAAACGACCCATCCATCTACATCTCTCACGGTGCGTATACCCGGACTGGAAGCCGTGGCTATTTTCGCTGATCGGAATGCAGTCGCCACACATCGATTTAATGCGGACGAGGGTGACTGGGGATTTACCCGATTCTGTGAACTGCGCAGGCTCTTTAACGTGCCATGGGAGGGCCGCGGCGTCCCTCTGGTGCAGAACGACGAGGCCAAGATCACAGCATACGTGCGTGTCGTCAAGGATCCCACAGGAGTACTGTGGCACAGCTTCCAGAAGTATGTATCTGCTCCGACGTCTACTCAGACCTCTTGCTGATTGCTTCCAGCTACGACTCGAAGAAGGAAACAGGCATGGTTGGGTTGAAGAACCAGGGCGCAACCTGCTATCTGAATTCGCTTCTGCAATCTTTATACTTCACCAACAAATTCCGTAAGGTACGTGGCATTATCTATCTGCTTCGGCGTGAATGTGCTAACACGCATCAAGGCCGTCTACGAAATTCCGACAGAGGCCGAGGCTTCGAGAGACAACAGTGCTTGGACTCTTCAGAGACTGTTCTATAACCTCCAAACCAGTGAGAATTCTGTCTCGACAACAGAACTCACAGCATCCTTCGGCTGGGAATCGCGACAAATCTTTGAGCAACAGGATGTCCA